TGTGAACGTTCACATTTAAAATGTAATGTGAACGTTCACATTATGTTTTAAATGTGAATGTTCACATTTAAAATGTAATGTGAACGTTCACACAAAAAGATCGGATTTTTTCAAAAAATCACAACTGAGCATTAAGACCTGCAGTGTGAACGTAGCCAAAGTCTGCCTCAGTCTGCACCTGTTTTTTTCACTCCGGGCAAAAAATGCATTTAAACCAGCTGATGTTACCAAGTTTTAGATCTCAGTTTGTAGTTTCGTACACGAAAATAACCTGCATCACAACTTTTATACTGCAGTCAGAGCAAACGTGATCTGAGCAGCGTCTGCCTGGTTCACATGTTCATGTGGACAGCAGCCGATGTCTCGGTCGACCCCTACTGTGGACAGCTTACATATGCATCACTGTGTTTATGAAGTAATCTGATTACTTTTGGGTCACTGTTGATGTAAAATGATTCGTTATGTGACGACTAAATATGTCAGTGCATTTGTTGCATTGATACAGCTTCAAGTTATCGTATGAATCCTTAAGACGTTCCTTATTTTAATGCAGCGGTAAGACTGATTTCAAAATGTTTAGAATTTATTCTGGTAATAATATGACTTTATTCTCATAAGATTAAAACTTTATTCTCGTGATTTAAAAAAAACCTCATAGTTTTGCTTTAAAACTTGGTCGTAGAAACCCATTTAAAGTCTTGGATAAGCTTGCTGTTCCCTTGACTCTAGTTCACCCTCTTCCAATTTTTTTTCTTTTAATTAAAATTTTTTTCAACTACTGTACACATCTACAGCAMCCCTAAATCCAGCCTGATCATCTAGCTGAATAAACAAGTCTTTATAAGAGTGTGGTTTAATAACCGTCTAACTGGTTCATTAATTATAAAGTGGTTAAAAAGAGTGAAGGGGGCGGGGCTTTAGTGATTTGTTTCGAATGAATGTTTATTATTCGTGAGAACATGACAGAATGTTTGTTTTCCACAGGAAGTGGGAATCACCGGTACTTCATGGGTTATCTGTTCTTCCTGCTCTGCATGATCTGCTGGATGATGTACGGCTGCGTCGCATGTAAGCTCCACACCTCCTCTGTCCTCTCCACCCCCCTCCACACATGGCAGCTCCTCCAATTCCTCCTCTTCCTCTTTTTCTCCGTTTGTTTTGTCGGCAGACTGGCGGGTGCACTGCGCTACCAGCTACGCCAAGGATGGCTTTTGGCTCTACGTGACGCAGATCGCCTCCTGCTCGCCCTGGATCTTCTGGATGTTCGTCAACAGCATCTTCCACTTCATGTGGGTGGCCGTGCTGATCATGTGTCAGCTCTACCAGGTACGGCGGCCAAACTATCCCCGCACGAACCAAGAGGGCGGACTGGCTTTGAACTGGTGTGTTTTTTGTTTTGTAGATCGCTGCTCTCGGGATCACCACCAACGAGAGGATGAACGCTCGAAGATACAAGCACTTTAAAGTCACGGCCACGTCCATCGAGAGCCCCTTCAAGTGAGTCGGGGTTTCACTGATCTGAGTGGAAACGTCCGTCGGAAAAGCCGTAACTGTTGTGTTTTGTCTTGTAGCCACGGTTGCATCAGAAACCTGATAGATTTCTTCGAGATCCGCTGCTGCGGCCTGATCCGACCCGTGACGGTGGACTGGACCACGCAGTACACAATAGAATACGACCAGACGTCCGGCTCAGGCTACCAGCTGGTGTGAAGACGGACGGGAATGAAGAAAGAAAGAGAGGGAGGGGGGAATAAAAGAGTGGATGGATCATTAAAAGGAAAAAGTTTTGGAGCGACCCCCACCCCCCCCGTCAGCATTCATATCTGTTCTCTGGAACGCTTGTTTTTGGTTTTTAAAATGTCAGTTTTTATGTTTGTGGCTCATCTCTTCACTGCTGATGAAGACTTTGGGCCAAGAAGCATGCAGTTACTGGGCGTCCCCCCCACCTGCCCCCTTACTACTATTACTACTATTAACCTCCACCATCAGACACCGCCTCTCCTCTCCTCGGCTTGTTGGACGGTGTTTTGCTGCCAAACGCAAACGGAGAGAGAAAAAAAAGAGGTTTTTCAAAATAAAAGCTTGTCTGTTCCGGAGTCTCGAAGCTGCTCGGCATTATCAAAGAAAACAACGCCGACACCCCCCACCCCCCCCACCCCCCCAATCTCATTTAAGGTGCCCCAGCTGATGATGTGCTCTTTTTTAATGAATCATGTCAGGACATTAAAGGAAGATTAAAGAAACGGTTATGATAGGAATAAGGGAAAGTCCTGTTTTTTTTTATTTACTTTTTTTTTTTTTTAAACGCTCTCGACTTTTAAAGCGGAGGATTAGCTGATTTATAAGTGTTTTCGCTTCCAGGTGGAGCTGCTGGAGGACTTCCTGCTTCTCCCGCAGGGCTTCCTTCAGCACGTTCCACTGTTAACATCCTACAGACAATGTGATTATATTTATTTTAAATCTATTTATAGATAAAGTAACTAGAGCAGTCATTTTTACATTTCACATCGTTTTAGCTGAAGAGGTTTTTTTTAAGGAAGCCCGAGAGAACTCCAAGTGGTACAGTGGGTGTATTTATTATGAGAAATAAGGAAAGTTTACAAAAAAAAAAAACCCTTCATTCCGAGTGTTTCTCTTTTTGAAGCTGTAAAGTCTTATTTGTTTTGTCTGCCTACAACATTGCACTGATTGTTTTTATTTTTAAATTTTCTGTGTGTTTTGAAGAGAAAGCCCAGCAGCTGCGCCTCACACCAACACTTCCATCATTTGCAGAAAGGAGGAAAAGTGAACAGAAAAGGGGCGGGGCTTGTTGGACTGTTGTAAAGAATGTGTATTTGTACATAAAACTCAGTTTGCTCCTTTTTAGTCAGTGTTCGTTAAAGATGCTCCTGGACTTTAATTTAATTTAATTTTTTTTTTTTTTTTTGGGGTTGAAGTTTTCCTTCAACCACAGACAATATAATCCATGTATGACTGTAGCTTTTAGTGACGTCCCACTCTGCTGTTTATATGCATTTTGACCTCCGAAGTACCTAAAAACTGCTCCCGACAAACTCCACTGCATGTACGATACATGGGACAAGCTGGGCCTGCCCCCCCACCACACCACCTCAGTTACCACGGTGACAGCCCAGCAAGCCACGTGTCTGTATATAGTGAATGTTAAATATATTTGCAAGTACTTTCCTGCATTATGTCCATATATTTTCTTTCGTTTTTTTTTCTCTCCAACTCTTTAAATCCAGTGTGTTACGTGGAAGTCGTCCTTCGGTTTGCCAGACTGTTTCTCAGCTGGGCCATCCTGTGCAAGTGTGTAAATATATCTGAATGTTACATGCTTGTGGACTTTATTATTCGTTTTTTTTATTGTCATACATTGCTGGGTTTGTTATACCACTGGATGTACAAATTGTAAAGCAAAGATACAACAAAACTAAGGCAAAGGCCTTTTTTTCTTCTTTTTTTCTAAAAGTAGAAATGTGATCATGCAATAGTTTGAAGGAACGGGAGGTGGTTTATCTTCTAGAGGCCTCTGAGATGTTGGGGCTCTTGTGTTTGCATCGTGGTTCCATGTTTCTGAGCTCCACTGAYGCCACTGCTGTCAAACGAACACAACTCGCACCACGGTGTAGCAGCTCCACTCAGGAGAAGAAAAGTGTTATTTCTCCCTGTTGAGACTGAAGTTAAAATATTGGCAGAAAAAAAGTGTCTTTTGAGACTAAAGTGGGAAAAGTGATTGAGCCACTGGGTGAATTTTAATGAAACTCAAAATAATTATTAGATATATTTATAACAAAGTATTTATATATATTTAGTTAGTCTCAAAAGATTTTTTTTTCAACATTTACCTTTAATTTTAATATTTGGGACTGAGTTTTCCCTGGGTGGTCCTAACAAGCTGCTGAACATCTGGCCTGGTCCTGGTTGTGTTTCATATCTGACCTCTTCAGTTTGAATAATGCCTTCTAATGTGAGCTTCGTTTCCTATAGGCTGATGTTTTGGGTTTTCAGGGGCTCATTCAGGACTTCATTTCATTTCAGAACCTTTTCAGTCCGCAGTAGTTCTTCCAGCAGCTCGTCCTCTCGCCCTCACCGTGTCAAATATTAGAAGGAACTAAAAAAATAAAGCACATAATCATCTCCAGTGCCTCTCTGCCCACCTCCAGACACCACTGTAACTCCGCTTCAGATGTAAACATGGGCATGGTTCAGTTTTAATGGCTTTAATAATAAAATCCAGTCAAACGTCATCACTTTGTGTTTTATTTGTAACGACGGCGCTTTCAAAGAGAAACGCCAAGATTGAGAAACGTTCCTGCCTGTGGACGGGATTCTGCTGAGTCATCACTGAGCGTGAACCAGAGCTCCGGCTCCTTGGCCGTAACCAAACCCTTTGGGTCCGAAGTTCTTGGCGTAACAAGCTGGAAGGAAAAATTAAAAAAATATATTTTTACAAACTGCAAGATGATGTGAAAATCTCTCAAATCACTAATCTGTGGATTCTAATAATGTCTCAACTCTCGCTGTTTAAAAATAGTTGACCAAAACTGAAAACATTTTTTCCTCATTTATGAGCAGCAGAACAGGTATTATATAGTTTAGCATTTTTATTTTGAAAATCAAAACTTCAAAATAAAATGAAGTCAAATAAAAAGTATTTTTGAACAGTTCAGGATGAACCCTGGAGGATTAATGTAGCATTTTTGTTAGACAATCAGTCCTGTTTCGAGACCATTTCTGCAGGAAGATTGTATCATAAATTTTAAAAATTTCTGAAAAATTCTTGGGAATTTAATTTTTTTATTTGCCTACGATGAAATCCCATTAATATCTCTGCTGTGAGGCAACAGTTCTAACCACTGATCCATCCCTCTGTGCTGGCCAGAAATACCTACTGTACATTTTAAGGTAYGAACTGCACAAGAAGTGTGACGAGAACTAAATAAATAAAATAAAACTGCTGCCAGTGACTCATCGGGGACGTGTGTTAAACTCGAGGCCCGCAGGCCAAATGTGGCCTAACAGCATTTYATGTGGCCCACGAGAGCTTCAAAGGTTTATTGACGTCTAAAMATTTAAAGCCAGAAACTACATCTCCCATAATGCATGCTGGTTATTTTACCCTCGGAATGATGGCATCCCACCACGAGCTGCACAGTTTTGCTGYAGCCCAGTTAAATAGGGAAGTGGGAATTTCCCATTTGCAAATCTAAAATTTAAGCTGGAACACTCTTCCAGTGGGAATTCCCTATTGAAAAGTGGGAGAGTTCCGAATTCAAGACAGCAGCTACTCATCAGTAAGTAAAACTTTTACTTTTAATGGTATTTCTGTAGTACTTATTGCACACTTAGTCATACATGTAGTACTTTTCAGTGTTTATAAGGGGACGTGTTAAAACGTTTCTATGCAGGAAATGCCATGCTCAGTTATTATTTGTAAGTGGAGACAGAACCAAAGCTAATWGCTAGCTAGCTTTATGCCTTCCAGTCCCGTGCAGATGTCTCTGACAGAACCGTCTGAGACAAAACCAGACTGTTTACTGAAGAGTTGAGCTTTTAAAGCCGAGATGCAGCGTCTATCAGTACACTGCGCTGACGTCTGTGTGTCTTCTGTTTAACTAAACAGTCTGACCCGTGGTGTGGTGAGAGGAAGCATTGTGAACGTCAAACTGCAGATGTTTCTCAACAGCTGCTAGCTGCACATTGGCTGATGTCATGCAGCCAAACAAACACATACAGTGTAACCTTTATCTGGCCTGACAACGTGTTTATATACAGTACTTCTGATCACTTCCAACTGGAAGAGCAGATGACTACCTCATGCTGGGAAAACAACTCATCCACTAAATAAGCTTTTTTTTATTATGAACAAGCATTATCAATACATAGGTACAAACAAAACTGMTGACTTTTTAAAGTTTTTAGCTGACAATGATTTTTATACAGAGGCTGTGGTCACATAAAAACTGACATGAATGACAACCAGATGTTTCTGACATTTACAGTTTTAGATTTCTTTCTGAACAAGTTCTAGTTGTTTCACAGCAATACCAATATTTGTACATTCATATCTGAGGCCAAATTWTAGCCATAGGTTAAGTGAAAGGCTGCAACGTTTGCCTCAGGTTTGTCAGATTTTATATTCACAAGTAACTGATTGGATTTATCAAGCCTCATAGACAAATATACYTGAGTATCATCAACACAACTGAAAAATGATCCTGTGCCGTCTAAAGCACATTTGCATAAAGTTAAATATATTCATCCGAACTCTCAAACTTGAGGAACTCCATGACTCTGGAAACATAAGTATATTCATAAATACCAAGAACAAACTGGAATCTAACAGATAAAATTGTTTAAATATTAAAGCTGTACTGTTGCGTTCCTGCTTCAATTTCTTTCCGCATGTTTTCATCCAGYCAAATGACTTCAGAAACTTTCTGCTACTTCAGCAATTCATGRCTCAAAACGTTGGGCTTGATGGGGAATAGTGTAACTTTATAATTCAGTTTTAAATTATGATTTATCTTACAAACACAACATAATACCTCCATTTACTTACTCTAGTTATGTCTTTTTAGCTTTTAGCTACTGTTTTGCTAATTTAGCTAGTTTTAGCATTCAGCTTCAATAGTTTTTATCAAGTTATTAAGTATCCAGTTGCAATATTTATGATTTAGCTTCAGGTTTGCCATACTTAGCGTTTAGCAACAGTTTTGCTAGTTTAGCTAATTTTAGCATTCAGCTTCAATTGTTTATATTTAGTTTAAGCTGTATAATGTTTTTCTAATTGTAGCTTTTAGCTATGRTGTTATATTTATCTTTTAGCTACAGCCAGGTTTGTTATACTTAGCTTTTAGCAACAGTGAATGTTTTTAAAAGTTTTTAGATTTAAGTATATCAAGTTTTTGTAAGAATTCATAAATGTGACCCAACATATAGAAATGAGGATTAAGTCAAATTTGGTCAAAATGACCTAATTACATTTTCAGATTCTTGGCTTTAAAAGCTACATTTTGATACCTGGATCATTC